TTAGCTAGAGAGCTCTAATATGTTTTGTCGTACCGTGCCGACTGTGTGAAAGAAATCGCAGACAGGAAAGTAACAGAATCAAACAGAAAAGAGTAATGAGTGTATTGTAAATTCATGCATATCTATTAGAATTTTGATTAAGTGCCACCAGATACTCAACAAGTTGAAGATCTGAAAATACGAGATGAATGACAGACATATCAGACAACATTTTATTTTTTACTATGCACGCTGAACGTTACACTACATATTGTTTTACGTTATTGAACGATAAAGACGTATCCATGAATGTCGCGTGCTGCCATCCACATGATATATCTCAAATTAAGTATTCAAATTGTCGACCGTCAATAACAAAGCGAACGGTGTTCCATTCCTGAATTATGAGTTATCTGAGATGTTCAAAGAGGTCTGCCATCCTCTGAAAGTTGTTGAAGGCTAAATAAATGTGTTCAATGTGCTCCTGTTTCACGCTAATAAGAAAATCTGATATATTGCAAGCTCTGGCAATATACAAGTCTCGCGACTTGAAGTCACGGATTAGACATTTTTTTTTCCTTTTGCCTGTTACAGAACCTTTACAAAACAAAATATCTTTATTACGATAAATAATCACTATTAATTGGAATATTCTTTGTAGAAAAATTTAAACAACTTATAAAAACTTAATTTTTCTTCATTTTTACGAAACATGGGAGACAAAATTGCTCAATTTAAAAATATTTGATTCATTGCTTAAACTAAAACATAGTTTCACAACAAACTATTCAAGAGACATTTATTTCTCAAGCTTCTTGAAACATCCTGCCTACAGCGCTTGTACTTGCTAATAGAATTCAACTTTTCAGAAACACTTTCCTTACAAATACTGGAACAAAAGAACCGATAAGAAAGAATCTTTATTGTGTTTGTTTTCATGCAATAGAGGATACATATTCAGTCTTACCAGATTAATTATTAAATAATCCCTTGCGATAAGAACGTCTGAGTAGTTCTGTAACCCCTGGCAGCTCTTTCTGAAAGAAAGCTAGCAACATTATAAGGGAAAGATGAGAGAATTAATCCTCATTGCTCGTACAACCACGTATATATAATAATATATATAATTGCATTATGGATTCCTAACAAATAAAAGAATATCTATCTTACACGTGTACGAAAATATTTTCAGGCTGCATTTATAAAATCCTAAACTATCACGAAAGTTATTATTATATGCGCGTAATTTTTATTTTTCTACACATATTAATCTTTTGCGTTTCCTTTGTAAATTTTGAGATTTCTTCTTTGTATAACAATATGTTGTAAAATTAAGTGATTCTGTAATAAATAATGTGAATAAGTCAAGCATATTGAGAGTTTAATTTATCATCTAGCCAACGTTATATAAATATTACTATGGTGCTTCTCAAGCTGCTTTAAATAATATACTTCATGTGTTCATTTTTAAACCAGAATTGTTTAAAGCAGGGGCTCTCCGCTTTAACTTCTCAATGGCTCTATGGCTGCTCCACTAATAAAACACAAATGAAAATTGAAGGAAATTGAAGAATAAGATAGAATCAAAACAGAAATATGTTTTGAAAGCTGAAATTCGCCTAGCTGAATTGTGTGTCGCTTTCTAACAGATGATACTTGGCCATTGCTTGGAACTGCACATTCGAGAAGCTTCTTCTTCCTTCGAGAATTCTTGGAGTCTTCACAAATTAGCTCAAAACTTAGCCCCATATAAATATATGTAACTTCCTGATTTGGAGTCAATTCGCAGTGAAATCTCATAGCTATGTTACAGTGACTTCTTGGAGATTCATCCGCTACTTTTCTGAGCATTTGTTTCCTACAGGAGCTTGGTTGCGTAACTAGCAAATACTCATACTCAAAAATAATAAACTGTCTAAAACTGCAGCTTTCTAAAAGCAGACTGTATACATTAGCGTGTGAAGACTATGGAAGTCACCAAGTGTCGCTTTGTTGCTCATTGATTTAAGATGTTTGTCTCGAGGCGTTGACAAAAAAGCAGCCACTGGTGTCTCATAAACTTTATTTTTATGTTACGTATTAATTTAGATTACTTATTATAGGTTACTTACGTATTAATTAACTACATTGTACTCTAGTTTAATAATAATAAAATTAAGTAATAATTTTCTTTTGTAAGGAAGAACACTTTAGATAGCTAATATGTGTTTGAATTAAACTGCATCTAATTATTAACTTGCAGAAACCTACTTTATCGTAATAGAGCTGTAAGGAATATTTTAAAATATCTGCTGTAACACAAATAATTGCATATCATTGAACTCTGGAAGAACTTTAATGTATGGCTAATTTTTGACAATATCACACTGAAAATAAACTAAGACGTTGCGACGAAGTTTCAAATTTTAATATACAATTTCATTTCGTGCTCATTAGCTGCTTAAGATATCTCCTTACTGTGCATTCCCTTACTGAAGTTAAAAATTGTAATATACAATTTCATTTCGTGCTCACTGCATAGCGGTTTAAGATATCTCCTTACTGTGCAATCCCTTACTATCTATACTTTCTTTTCTAACCAAGTAATGCAGTTCTAAGACATGAGATGGGCCTAAGGAGCTCTGCTAGAGGAGCTCATTCGAGAAAGATTTTCGCAGATCAAAAGGTTTGGGAAACGCTGATTTAAAGTAAAGTAAGAAATGTTTGAAATCTTAGAATCAATTTCTGACGAATAAATATATGAGCTACTCTATCTCATCAAAGTAATTTAGATTCAAACATGGCAACATGCTTATGCTGAAACAAATCGTTCCAACTGGACATCGGAACTACAAACTCAAATTGGACAAGAGGTCATTCAATAGTCATCGGAATTGTGATGAAAAATTTCGATGTCCAGTCTGAATGATCTACTGAAGTACTTGTTAGTCAATTGGTAGCAAAAATTTGACCTCTACTGCTACCTTGAAGGCAGCGGACATAGTAGTAGAACCAGCATTTAATGCTGCTATACGGCTGCAGTGTTAGTGAAGACATTATCAAAAATTTGTCTGGACAGACGTCCACTTACATTTTATTCAAAATCTCTATCGCGATGGAAATGCTTTAAATAAAAGAACTCAAAAACAAATCCTGAAAACAAATGAACTTGTGAGAAAAAAAAAACTAATGCGGCCATCATATGACCTCCCGCCAATTTCATGTAAACTTTATGATTCGATATTAACTATAAACACTACTCATTTTTTTATTATTCTACATTTCTATACAGTGGGACAATGATAACTATAAATACTCATGTACACATCCGTTCTCATACTTTAATTTGAAAATATAGGCATCGATCGTACTGTATCACTAGCGGTGTTGCGTTTTAGACTCGCAAATTAATGACTTAACTGTCACAAAATTTTTAAAAGCATCCTACCTTTAAGTCGCAATAGATTTTGCCATTAAATGCCATTAAATTTTGCCATGCATTTCTTTTTAGTCCTTTCTATTAAAATCTACTTCTTTTAAAATAAAACAGGCAAATCGACAACCTTGTATTCGGCGTAAGTTTTATAAAATTCCAATCGATTTCGAGGTCAAAACAGGTCCCCTTCATCAGGAACAAAAAATTCTGATAAAAAAAATCTTCTTAATAATATGCCGATAATATATTGTGGAAACGTTCTATTATTTAAAAAAAGATTCGTCACAAAAGTGAAACGGACCCAAAACTGAGGTTTGAGAATAATACATTTAATTGTTTTATAACGGCAGCTTGTCTTCAGAATGAGCTTTTCTTGGTTCATGTAGCATAATTTCAAGAATGCGTTTAGTGCTTATAAATGCAATATGTTGTTCTCGATCGCATACCTGTTTTAAATATCAAATTTAAGAAGATTTAGATTATGTCATAATATATTGTTTTCGCGGAAACTGTTAAGAGCTTCAAGTAAAATATCACTTCAGGCTTATATATTTTAGCCAAAATCTAATATGCTATTCCCATTCACATCAATGTCTTAAATACTGAAACTGAAAAGGTTTGGATTGTATTTTAATATAGGTTTTCATTAAAAACTGTTATAAGCTTCCAGTAAAATAACAGTTCCAACTGTCCATTAAAGATTGTTAAAATAACCCTTCCGGTTGTCCAGTTTTACTCCAAATCTAATTTGAATCTTCATATGAACGTAGAAAGCCTAAATCCCGAAGTAGAAATTTTTTTGAGTTTCATATAAGAATTATCGAAGGCAAAAATTCGTCACACTCATAACGGACTCGCAGATAGACATCGTTGTAAAAATACCAAAAACGTGTTGTGGGGATCTTAATTCAAGCTTATTTACTGAAAACGCACTCTCATATTTTTGAATCGACAACACTACTTCCTTTGCTACGTATATCGGTTGACGAGAGATTCAAAATAGTACTAAATAAAGGTGTAAGCATTTTTGCTTAATAAGGTTGACTCATTGATGATGCGCAACAAGAATCATTGTTCTTGATAAAAGGTATTGACAGAGAAAAAATGTGAATATATTGCCCATAAATTTGCCCATATAAAGTAAGATACCGATTTATTATTAAACTTCAATCTCAATAATATTCAGAAATCTGAAATGTTAGAAATGTATTTGACGAGACTTTGGTAATCTTATTTACTTATTAAGCATGAAACAAATGAAGAAGTAAAATACTGTTCAGAAAGATTATTTTTAATTACTCGCATCTTACGATGAAAAAAGCATTGAATTCCATTGCATCGAACACTTATTTTAGTTTCCTTACAAAGCTTGATATCTACGTGCATTAAATTAAAGACTCACTTTTATTATATTCCCTATAAAAGATTACTTATAGCTATTTATGTGCCGCCTATGTCCCTTAGTGATAGATTATCGAAAGAAAAACTGTGAATTTTTCATACTTTTTTTTTTTTTTTTTTTTTTTTTTTGTTGCCTTTTTTCAAATATATCTCATTAGAAATGTATTATGTATATTCTTAATCTCTTCTACATTTTACATTTCAGGATACGGATGCCAGATAGCAGGTTTTTTGACTGTTTTCGCCACTGAATTGTCTATTTACACTCTAACTGTTATTTCTATTGAACGCTGGTATGCTATTACTTACGCCATCAATTTAAACAAACGACTGAAGATGCGCAGAGCTGCTAACATCATGTCCATGGGATGGATCTTTGCTCTCACCATGGCTTTCCTGCCGCTAGTGAATGTAAATGGCTACTCTCGTACAAGCATCTGTCTCCCGATGAAGAACCAACAGACAGAGGATGTAGTATACCTCATGATTTTGCTTTTTACTAATTCCATGGCTTTTCTGTTTATTTTCTTCTGTTATGGTAATATGTACATGACAGTCATACGACATCAGAGTAAGGCCACTGCAAATGATATGGCAGTAGCTAAACGAATGGCAATGCTCGTGATAACTGACTTCTTATGTTGGGCTCCAGTAGCGTTTTTCGCCACTACGGCAGTGGCAGGTTACCCGCTTATTGATGTGACCAACTCGAAGATTCTTCTGGTGTTCTTCTACCCCTTAAATTCATGTGCTAATCCATTTCTGTACGCCATCTTCACCACTCAATATAGACGTGATTTTTTAATCTTGCTCAAGCGTTGCGGTTGTTGTAATGAATGGACGCGAAAGGAAAAAAATCGCCATTCTTCATGTAATGTTCCCCCTTTGCAGTTCTCTAGCGGTACCAGGTATTGGAATCAGAATAATTCACAGTCTTCTCAGATGTCCACCGATAATTCTATGAAAGTCCTTCGTCCAAGTGATCTCAGCAGTCAACAGGATGTGTTTTCAACTTCCGGTTGGGAAGACCAGGAAGCAGATGATGCCATTCACCTATGGAAAACAGTTCGTCACTTCCGCGAATCAACATCTAGTGACGACAGTGGCCAGTGCTGCAAAAACTATAGCAGCAGTTCTCACAGTACAACACACAGAGGATCTCCACATCCAGTCAAAAATCGCTTTGTGCATTTAGATATACCAGCCGTAATCAGTCCAGACGACTGCGAGTTTCACACAACTAAAATGTAATTATTCATAATCGTAGGACATTTTCCTACTGTCATCCAGGTAAAACATGGTAGCCATGAGCTATACGTTTATAATTGTTATTATTATTAATAATCATTCATGAGTATAATAAATCAGTGTGAAACTTTTTGGGTGTACTTGATAATGATACAAAAATGTAAAATGTTTTATCAAGTTTCATAAATGTTTTTCATGAAATTAAGCTTTAAATATAATATAATTTTCATAAATGATGATACGGAACATCTTGGATATAAAATCGCTTTGTAAAGATAAGAAGACCTTTTTTAAAAAATTAAATTTAAGCTTAAATGTCATAGAAACCAAAATTATGTTTATTCTGCTTTCCTCAAGAAAATATCCTTACCTCTCTGTGTTCACTTTTTCCGTCGTTCTGTTTAACTTCGATTATTCAGACTGCCTTTATCCAAAGATCCAGTTATCCACATCGCTTTTTGTCCTTTCTGATTCAGTAAATTTCAGTTTGCTTTTAATTTATTTACATGTGTTTAATTGTTTCCTCAACTTTGTAATACAAGCATTTATTAATTTATATTAGTTTTAGTTGTTATTTACGGATTTTTTGTGTGAATAAAGTATGATAGCTTAGTTTCAGTTGAATAGAAATATGCTATGCATTTTTTTACTTAAATTAATATGATTCTAATTCTCAGTTCCTTATTCTTCTTTTAATTTAATACAGGTAAAACAAAAACGGAATTATGTGTTTAGATTAAAGGCCTATATAAATAATAAAATTAATTTTACTGCTTTAGTTTAGCTGAAATGAAAATGAAATTTGCGCTTGGGAAATAAAAAACTACTTCTTTGCTAATTTTGTCTTAAAAAGAGCGTTTCAATTTTATTTTAATATAAAAATAACACTTAGTAAGCCTGATGTTGTTTACCGCCTCCCTAAAATGAGAATTTCTAAAAGCGGTCAGTATTTCTGAGAGCATAAAAGGAACACCGTATTGAACGTCACCTTCCTAAGTCAACCATTTCCATAGATGACCAAAATGATCTAGATTCGTGAGTAGTAGTTTCAGAGAGGTTTCACGACCTATTTTTTTTTAATTGAATATGCTTTTTTTCAAATAAAATACAATAAATGATAATTCTAAATTTCTACCCTTGCATTTCAATAAATATGTATTTAAGTTGCGGGCAAAAAATATCCGTATTTCCCATTCTTCGGATGGGTTTTTAACAAGATAATTTAAGTTCTACTAAATAATGGGATTTTAAACTATTTGCTACCAGTTCAATGAAATAAAAATTTGTAGAAGAATGCCATTATATGTTTGGTAAGAAAGTATTTAGTAAATAAAACTGGCCACATTATTCGGTAATTTTGAATTACATTTAAAATGTAAGTATAAAGAAATATTGATATCTAATATTGATATCTAAGTTATAAAAGTTCATGTTTAAGAAAGCAGATTTCTCTTTAAAACCTGGGATTATTATTATGGAACTTTAGTTTTCTTTTGTCTTTTTTAAAATGACAATAAAGGAATTAATTTCTTTTTCACTAAAACAGCAACAAGAAATCAGACACTAGTAATAAAAGATTTTTTAAAATACATTTTTAATTTTATTAATATTGAGCAAAATTATTAAAATAAAATTTTATTCACAAGAGAATCGGTTAAAAAATATAAGAAGTTAAAAAGGGCTAATAATAACAGTTCTTATAAAAAATTAAATTAATTTCTCAAAAAGTTCAAAATACCCTGAAACGTAAAAAACTCCCCATTGAACGCGATTTTTGATTAAAATATTTAATAATTAACCATTTAGTTGAGGTAGTGAATGTTAATCAGATGTGTGGATTCATTGAATCTTTTCCAGTATTTTTGCTCTTTAAATGTACGTATAAATATGACAGGTAGAGCCCTTAATTTCAAGGTTTTTAAGGAAGGAAAACAAAATTTAAAGACGATATGAAAATTAAATAAATTTTCTTATTACCTGAACCTCCGACAGGGCGTCTGGAAGGGAAACAAAATTTAAAGACGATATGAAAATAAAATAAATTTTCTTATTACCTGAACCTCCGACAGGGCGTCTAAGTACTAATTTATAAGTTAGCAAGATGCATAGTTGGCTTTCAGTTTAGAGGAATACAGTTTTCTTTTATAATACGAATATTTCTCCCTCTTAGTTACTAAAATTGGAAGAAAACAAGGGATTTGAGAACTGGAAACCTTTATGTCTTTGTTACATTTTGTCGCTCTCTCTCATTCTTAACCTTTTTCAAAGTATTTCAGCAATAGCTCGTATAATACTGAAAATTATTTTGATAAAAATAAAACTCTTTAAAGGTAAAATACCTTTACATTTTTTAGATAGTATGCTGCTGAACGTCGAAAATTTTCTTCAGAATTAACGCAAGAAAATCGTGCTTGTTTAAGGAAGCTACTTTTTGTACTTATATACACTATTTTCTCTCGTTGTAATAAAAAACGACAGCTTTCTTTTTATGATCCGTTGTTTAACTACTGAAGCACCTGAAATAAAGAATGACACTTTTATACACAATTTAACAGGAGAAAACGTTCCATACATTAAAAAAATACATAACTTTTTATTTTTTAAACCTTACTAATGTAAATTTCTTCCAACTAAATATAATTTACTTAACTTCTGTATTAAATAAAATAATAATTCATGATTCTTAGTTATATCCATATCTTAAGAAGATTAAAGAGGACATTGGTTGATCTGACTCCTGTGTTTGAATGAAGCAACATGGAACAGTATTAAACATAAAATATATTTTATTTTACTCACATAAAAGATGTTCGTACCGGCAGCATAGTATAGCGATCTTTCTGATCCCAGTGGCCCCCGCTCAAAGAGACTCTCAGGCGGGAGAGAAGTTCTGACGTAAAATATAACATGGGAAGTGCACCTCTTGCTGACTGGCTGATGCGGCGCATCTCTCGCTCGGATGAATGAATTGCTACAAGATTGAATTAATATGGTGCCACTGGATAGTTGTTAGTCAGAAGTGATGTTTGACAGTAATTAATGGACCGGACAAGATCATCTGGTCGTTTGGAGGGACAAGATCATCTGGTGATGAAAGAGTACTCTATGGGTCAATTGGATTATCAGATGATTCAACATGAAAACTTGACTGGTTGAAACAGAAATCAAATCCTTTATTATCTCTGTCCCGGTGGCATGTAAGCATTCTGTACCGCGCCACGCACATGGGAAAAAATCCGTCTTCGTGATTGGATATGGCTTTCGATAACATCGTTTCCTCTACGCTTAGGAACGCCTTGACTTTGCTTGGGTTCGAGGGTACATCTTCGTACGTTTGTTCACATTTTGATAGCAATGCTGAAAAAATTTTTACCTGCGGTGTATTTTTGTTGCTATGAGATTACACTTCTTACAAGACAGTAGTGTAGTAAATTTAACATAAAAAATGTAATGCTATTATTTTCTAGAGAGAAAAAGTATTATTTCTTCTTGTGCTAACTCCTTAAATGTGTATTAATATTAAGTGCAGAGACTTTTAATATTAGTATTACGTATTCTTAATTTAAAACTCTTCGCATTAAAGGTGTTGTGATTATTAATTCATTATTTCATGTTCATTATATATATCCATTCTCTGTAGATGCAATCTCCGAAAGAATGAGACAAGTCAGTTTTCGGAAATAGAAAGAAAATGCCGTTGGAAGCTGACATAGTACAGAGTAAATTCACAACATTTATAATCAGTCTGAAAAAGTAAAATTTATTTTTAAAGTTATACTAATCTAGGTTTGTAACAGAGAAATATAGATACATATTTAACACTTACTAATATTACTTTATGAATATTGCCCTTTTTTTAATGTGTAACATCTTTTGTACCTTTGCATAAAAATAGTGTTTGTCAGAGAAGAAATTTTCTTTTCTTATATACGTATATTAAATTCAACAACGATACTGAATGCACTTTTTTCTTTCATTTAAGGCAACAAAATATTAGAAATGACATGGACATGTCCATGTCATTAACATGGAAATAAATGTCATAACATGTCCATTAACATGGAAATAACATTTGCAAAGGAAATATTTTCTGCAATGTGGTAGGAACAGAATGCAACAAAATTGCAATAATAATAATATACTTACTAGAATACAATGGCTTTGGATCGAGATTGTCGTGTTTTGGCTTTTGCACTAAATTCATGAACTCAGCTATTTATATTATCTAAGCGCTTCAGATTGCTTCTGATATTAAAAGCATCTTTGAAAGATTTTACAATTTTATTATCCCATGAAACAGGAAGCCATCTTCGGAAAGCTGCAGCTAAGTTTTTTCCTTTCAAATAAAACAAACGATATCTTCTGTGTCACTCATGCGCCTCATTCAACGAAAAGAAAACCGCATGAATCCCACCTAAACGCCATTATGCAAAGAGAAAATGATGTCCGGAAAGTATGTCCAACCACAAGTAAGGATTTTTCCCTATACGCATGGCGCGGTGCAGAATGCTTAGATGCTTTCCGATGAACGAGTGGTAATGCTGAGTGTTCGATCCCGGGAGAACGGGCTGGCTATGCAGCTGGTTTTAACGATATTTCTCGTATGTAACGTGAATAAGAGCCAGTTTCCTTTAAAAAGTTCTCCATGGAAACGTCTACATCAGATAGTCATCCTATGCTTTGCCATACTAAAATAATCTCATCTTTGTTGTCCATTTCATAAAAAATTTGTAAATAAAATGTTAAGAAATAAAGATTTTCCGCTTTGCTACACTCTTCAGTAGCTATTTTCTATTCACCTGTTAAACTTGACGTCATAAATGTTTATGGTTGCCTCTTTTCTGGGGGGAAAAAAATCTAAAATTCTTTTGCTTAATACATTTACTTGATTTAATATTCTTACTTCACCTCATTTTCGTCCAACTTCCAATTATTGTGATCATTGCGAACCGTGACGTTGTTAGTGTTATACTGCCTGCACTCACCTATCCCAAAGACTACCGGCAGTTTGTAAAAAGGTAGTGCTGCCATCTAGTGTTTATACGTAAAAGTATTGTAATGTGATCTATTTTGGTGCTATTACTATATTGTATGAGAATGTAATTTCATAAATCTAAATGAAAAATAGTATAGTAAAGAAGAATAAATATATAAAAAATTTTCAAAAATGTATACAAATGTCCTTAAACAAAGATGAAAAAAACCCCAAGAAATTGGTGCTTTCGCTGAAAGTTCTCTTTAAGGAATACATGTAATAATTCATCTTCAAATGAGTAACCGTTGTTATACGTTATCTTGGAAGAAAGATACTTTTATTATGTGTTGAGTCACTGTTAGCTGTATGTTATTTAATGGAATGATGTACGTATTTAAAATAAACTTTCAGTGTTTATTGAACTTATTTGTATATGTTGTCTGAATTAATAAAGTTTATTGATGAGTGAATTAAGAGTTTGTTTCTTGCTATATATCCTTAGCTTCGTTAGTTTGTATATGAAACAAAAAATAACTACTTTTTTAAAAATTAAAGGAATTTAATACATATTTTGCACTATATGATATTTTATCAAACACTTTTAAATTGCGTATAGATTTTAAAGGGCCTGTTTAGATTATATTTAGAAAACATAAGATACTGCATCGAATTGACAGGATTATGATAATAACTTTTGATCACTGAATAACATATTCGATATAAATATCGCATAGTTGCATTGTTGCACATTCTATTGTAAAACTTTATACAATAGCACTCAACTTATAGCATAAAGAAAGTCGTTACACATCTCCAATAATATAAATGGATAATGATAACAGTCCATTAAGTACTAATGCAATTTTAACAACTTAAAAATAAATATGCGTTTATAAATTTTAATAAAAAAATCTGAAAGCTTTCTGATTTTACATTACGCCCAAAGGGACCTTGTTTAACGTTTTCTGCGTTACCTTTATTTATTAAATATCATGTTCTTCGCCCTTAAACTATAAAAGTCAATTCAACAGCAATATCTCAAAATAATTTTAAAACGAGCATATCTTTTAGAATTTCCGATACACAGTCTCACGCACTGGCGATTATTTTTTTTTCCGTACAATGTTGCCATTGCTCGCTTTGAAATAGTGAAGTTTCTTAATTAAAATTTCGTTAAAGTGTTAAAAAGTATGAAATCGATAATAAAAAACAAATTCCAGATTAGGGCGGCCCACGAGCGGTAAAGTCGCTGAACACTGGTAGTTCGGTCCGAGGTTCGAATACCGGGAACGGGCTAGCTGCATGGGCGTTTTCGTGGTTTTCCCCATGCGTAACATATATACGAGCCAGTTTTCTTTAGAAAGTCCTCCACGATGGCATCCCTCCCCTTAGGCAGATAGCCTTAGTGTGCTTTGCCGTAATTAAATAAACCAAACCAAACCAAACCAAATTAGGGCTTTCAGATGTTCATATACGGAGGAGGATTACGTTATTCAAAATTGGACGGATCTAGATACCGTTGTTTTATTACAATGCGAGAAACATACATATATTTATGCAGATTCTTCATTATTTGATTTCTCTAAATATAACACAGGTGACAACATTTGGTGGCAACAGTTTGAAAAGTGATATGGACATTTGCAGTGAATCGACGCAAAAATGCCAAAACGAAATTAATAGTCCTTCTGAGCTAACGCTCCTTTAGGCTA